TGTTCATATCCTGAACTATAAATATACATGGAAGTTGATAATGAAATTAACTGTATGGCAACATACTATGGAAGGAATGGTCGGTGTTGTTGGATTTGGTGGAAGGAGACAAAGTTAAGCTCGTACTGAACGAAATTAAAGTTGTAGTGGAAAAAAAAATAAAACTATTGAAAATAACGACACCAAGAAAATCTAAAATGAGCTCGAAGAAAAAGTTTACTAGTTCCAAAAACAATAAAATTTTAACAATGTTCGAATAAAAAAAAGTAGCCTGAATAGATGGAAGGAGCAATTTCACTCGTACAAACACGGACAATTGCCGTATAAGATCTTCGTTAAATTCCCATTAAAGTATTGTATAAACAAGCCGAGAAACGATCGACTTTACTTAACAGTTAAGTGACTATTTTTCGTAAAAATATAAGGGAATAATTCTATAAAATTATTACAAAGAATTATTGTAAATATAAAAATAAAAATTATTATTCAGATCTTAAAATGTAAAATGTATGTATGTATTGTATGGTCACAAAAGGTCGAGTGTCATCTACACTAAAACTTGTGATGGCGAGGGCGGCTATCGGTGGTGATGAACGATCTTCCCTCTTAGTTAAAGTTTTTTGATTCATGATGTTAAGATTGATGCGTATATTTACTGTGACTAGTCGAATAGTAGTACTTACTCTAAAACTATAGACAACCAAACATATATATAAGAGAGAGTGTTCATTTCAACAGGTTCTGTGTACCATCACATAAAATACACATCAACCAATAATGTTGGAGAAGCAGTGTTATATAGGTTATTTCGAACACTATTTGATCTTAGTAGTCACCAGAGGCTAGGGCATTACTAATCTAGAGTTATCACTAGTGAGTATTAAATTTAATAAAATTGTTTGTTTTTCAGGAATGAATAATTATTCTACAGATTCATATATGTGCAGTGTGCAAATCTTTTGTCAATTCAATTAGAGGCTTTAAGTGACATTGTCATAAATTAAAAATGATTTTAAAAATGTCGAATTTATCTGATTAATAAGTAAATTAAGAATTCTTATTTGCTGAGGTGATATAATACATGTTAGTTGATACCAATCCAATAAATTTAAATTCGAATTTAATAGCCTGCAAAATTGCATGCTCATTCCTTTTAGCAACTACACCACCTGCAGTTCGTTTAACATTGGTTTCTGATTCAATTAATTTTGATCTATGCCTGATGATGTCTTGATATCCTGCTGTTCGATTAAATAATGTATTGTGCATATATTTCTCAAGATGTGCATATATTAAGTTTGTGTTCGCGGATGGTTTGAAGAAAATGTCTCGCAATGAAGATAAGAAATTTTTAATTTTTATATTATTCAAATAGTAAATATTTAATATGTAAAAAAATAATATATAATTATAACACATACCTATATGGCAATAAAGTTTAAAATTTTATTAGCAGTATTCATAAAACTTGTTATAAAACCTCTATCAAATATATACCCAATTTTTTTTATGAGTGATCATTTGTTTAAATATAACGCAACCGGAAAAGGGGAATTTCTTCCATTACGATGAGGTGTGACAATTAACAAAGGGAGGTGGTACACATATCTTTATTTTATATTTATGTATTTTATATTATTTATTTATTAAGTTTCTCATTTATTTGGAATGTGGCGTTTCTACGAAGAGGAATAGAGTGTAATTCTAATTAGAGTTAATCTAATTACGTAAGAAGTCTGGATATTTGTTGGTTTGGTTGCAGTAGGAAGCGAGAAAATAGTTGTCCGCTATTCATAAATAATGGTTTTCACCGCCTTATTACAAAATTCCTCATAATAATCCTCATAACAAATCTCACAAGCAAACTATGCCCATTACTAACACTAAATGAACACTAAATTCATCCCGTTGAGTTTATATAAATGAATAGATCTTTCGTCATTAGCTATGAAAAATCTGACTAAACTGATATAAAAAAAGCACTTCCATAAAACTCTGTTTCTTCTGTAGGCCGAAGATATATAATATAAAAAAACATGCGTATATGAAATCAATGAGAGAGTATACAAAACGCTACCTAGAAATAATTTTATATATATATGTAAAGAAATAATATATAACATAAATTATGTATACATAAATCTGCCTATAGCTTTACTAACAAAAGTATTGTAAGTCATTGAGAACTGGACATTCACAGAGAAAACACTTAATTGTTTTATTTTTCTGTAAGTTTCTACAACTTCAACTAAAAGAAAATTAAAAGCAATGTAAAGTTTCTATACGTTTTTTCTGGTACGCCAGTAACCAGAGAGAACTTCAATAAACCTTACAGTATTCAAGCGGTCCCTTTATTAAGTTACCAAGTTCTAGTGTTGTTATATGATGTTCATATTAACTAGAAAGTTACATATGACTTAAGTGTCTTTTATTTAATATTGGCAAGCTAAAAAAAAGTAGAGGCAAATACTTATCTTAACAATCTTCAGAAGAATATAAACCGGTACCGCTACACCTAGATAGTAGTCATAGTCATTCCCTTCGATGTTTCTATATTCAAAAAAGTATGGTTGTAGTCAGTTCTGTTTGAATTATGTCAAATTTTGGATGCAACACTTGTACTTTCATTAGAACTTTAACCTCAATAGGGTAATAATTTTGTTCTTTCTTTGCTTTATGTTCCTGTTATATCGCTTTCATTATTTTTTTTTGTTCACTATTGAAGGTAGTGCTTTTCTTTTATTTTAGATATAAGTTTTTATATTTTGTAGTTAATTAAAAAAAATATAAAGTTGTTCTACATGTATCCAATACACTTATTTTGATATTCTATATAAAATATATTTCTTGTGAAAGTTTTGTTAAGGAAAGTAAGATTATTAAAATGATTATAAGTCTCATAAAGCACTGTTATAATCTGTAAACTGTTCAAAAATAGATTAATTATACCCACTAAATATAAGTACTAACAATTCTATATAAAATGATATGAGACATACTATAATTTATGAATACTATTAGTTAATTAAAAACCTAACTGAACAAAAAGTTTATAATATAGTATTTTTAGTATGTATTATTATGTACATGTAAATTTTATTGATTTCGTGCTTTCTTCTCAAAAAAAAAAAAAATTAAATGATTTATATAAAATTATTATGAACTCAATTAATAATGTAAAAATATTGGAGATATTTGATGGTGCTTGTTGATTAGCCAACGAAATGAAGCATTTCTTATACATTGCATAGAGTGAAAGGAACACGATTTAGTAGTAAATTCTCAAACTCGGTAAATTACTTTCTAAGCGCGCTAAAAGAAAAACTAATATCCCAAGCGGTTATAATTTCAAATTTTGCACTTAATAGTTATGGATATTTTGACAGCAATACGAATATTCGTTACAGCAACAACAGCAGCTACAACAACAATGCAGAGAGGTACGAGCAACAGCTGCACGTTTGACGGGTAACCCAGATATCAAGCGGGCAATTAAGTTGCCAAGCAAAATGTTGCCTTCGAAGTTCGCTTCGTAAGATTAATAATTTTTATTATTTTAATTACCTCCATCGACATGCTTAAATAGATACGTAATAATAATTTTGCTGCATATTAAAAATCTGACAGATTGATCAAAGGGAACAATAGATATGACAGGAAATTACCCTAGATTATATCGAGTGAAGATTGTTATGAAGGGCAAATTAAAGGTACGATTGTGATGTGTAAGAGGCAGTGCCGCTGGTCTAGGTAAAGAAGATTGTTCTAGGTTGAATATTTATTGTGGAGTGATTATTTCCTGTGCTATGAGAATAATTTACTGAGAATAGAAAAATTGTTTATTTACAAAAATGTTTTAGCTGTATTTAAAAGCTTAACTGGTAATATATTAGCACTCAAAAGTTCTTAAGTCTATACAGGTATGGTTTCCTGGAATTTCAAATAAAACTTTTATTAACATCGTTAACGAAACGGAAAATAAACATAAAATAAGAAACGCAGAATAAAATAGGCGATTTTTGTCGTAATATGTAGTATTCCCAAATAAATTATAAAATTACTATCATTGTATATAGTGAATTCCATCTTGTACTACAACTGTGAAACATGGAAACACTCCAGACATATAGAGAAAAATATGTTACTATTTATCAATAAATGTCTCAAAATATAGTGGTCAGATCGAATATCAAACGAACGCCTGCTGGACCAAAGCAATCAAAATGTAGCAAAAACTGAGATAAAAAGACGAAAGTAGAAGTGATAGGTCATACCCTAAGAGAACCACAAAATTACTACCATAAGGTAGTAGAAAATATGGTGCGCTAGCGAAAATGTGGGTTAAAATGGTCGAAAGTGAGCTAGGTGAAGCACAATATACATAGATCGACATCTATAGAGAAGCACCAAATAGTGTCAGATTTAAGTGAATTATAGAGGTCCTATACCCCACTGGGAGAAGTCGACATAAGTAGTAGTAGTAGTATATATTAAGCTAATCCCTATTATTTTTATCATAAATGAATTGTAACCTTCGTTATAAGCTCGGCGCGGTAATTTTACGTTCTTTTTAGTCATCACCACAAAGTATGTTGGGTAAAGAACCAAATCACGATTATTTCGTACTTTTACTACTATTTTGAAAATATTTGATTGTGACTTAATTTGGGAGATACACATATCTCTGCTCCTAAAAAGCACCTTTTTTGATATTTTATAAAAGCATAAGCAACAGTGCTTGGAACAACGTGACGAGTCCGTGACTAAATTTTAATAGAAATTTATTTCTTCCTCCCACTCCTCTCTCTATTCTCACAATTTTTCAATTTACATTGAAAACAACAACAATTTCATATTTTATGTGACCATAACTGTCTGTATAACATGGTCCTAAGTAAAAGATCTATATATACATATCTTAACAAAGTTACCTATAATATACTTGTTTTGATTATAAAAATTATATTCCAATTTTAATTTTAAAATTAAAATGGAAAAATAGAATAAAATTCAAAATTCGTCTCCTGATACTTGAGAACACAATAGTATACATTTTGGCATTCACATATCTCTTTCGGTTCTTTTAGTCAATCCAAATTCAAAATCTATAACATGTCTATTAAGGAGGACGACTTAATACCTCCAGCCGAATTGAATGCATACTTTATGGGAAAATTTAAATGTATTGAGAAGAAAATACGAAAATTAGAAAGACAAAATGATTTTTATGCCCAAGAGGTTAAGAGAATTAAGAAAGAATTTGATGCAAATGAAAAATATTTCGATAGTTATCCTAACTTTGCTAATGAAGGATGTGATTTTGATCATGACTCTTGGCGTTATAAATTAATGGATGAAATTCGTGAAACGCAATGTCCCCCTGATATCGACAAATTAAATATGTTCGAGGAGATCATGTTAGAGGTGAAATTAGAGCAGAAATATAAGAATGAAGTGAATGAGGAAGAGGAAATGGTGGTAAAAGAGGTGAAAAAGAAATCTAAAAAGGACATAGAGAGAGAAAACATGATGTATTTAATAAAGGGACCTGACAAGAAATGCAAAAAGGAAGAGGAAGAAGCTGAAAATGTGAATATAAATATTAGTTTATAAATAATTCATTTAAAAAATAATGTAATTATTTTATATAATAAATACTTTTTTTTTTGTAATAGTGTGAAGAAGAAAATGACGAGAATGAATCTGATGATGATTGTGAAGAAGGTTCTGATCAAGTAGAAGCAGTTTGTTGCCATTAATATGAAAGGTAAATTACTGATGATATAATTAATTTTATTAAAAAGTTAACTGTTTGAATATTAAGTTAAAGTACCGGTAAGTGCATTGAGAATAAATTTTAATCAGATACAATTTAAATATAAGTGACACACAACGAAAATTATATATGTAGTAAGTTATATAAAATATAAGTTAAATATAAGATAACTTATATAGAACACAAGTTACATATAAGACAAATTATATATAAGACAATTTATATACAAAACAAGTTCTATATAAGACAAGTTATACATGTATAAGACAAATTATATATAAATCTGTCTACAGATATTGCGGTTCTCATTACAAGGACTCGTTATTGGACTTGAATCTACTTTATTTTTAATTAGGAAAACAAAATGATTTACTAAAATCATTATAATATTTTGAAGATGGAAAAAATTGACTGAAAAAAGTAAGTATTTAAATTCATTCAAACTAATTTAAATATTATAGGAGAGGGTTTCTCAACCAACCGTTCCAGGACCGCAGTCAATACGCAGAAGAAAAAAAAACTGATATTACAATATATTTTCGGTTTTGACGATATTTTTTTTTTTTTTCAAATATTAATATCGATCCTTGTAAAGTGCAATGCATATTTTTACGATACATGGTACCTCCCTGAGTTGAGATACTCCACTATATAGCATTCATTCCTTATTCGTTCTAATGTTATTTTTTTTAAACCAGTATATTATTTCTTTAATTTTCAATAGTTTAAAGGATTGATTGGAATTTACAAAATCGGACTAATGGATAAGTTAAAACTTACCTTAGGACTTATATCAATGCCAAACAATGTAATTAAAAATTTTTACCTGAAATGAAAGAAAAAAAACTTTTATTAATTTTCGGTGCAAACAAAAAAATTTTGGTTTTATTTGGAAAAACAATTAATTTAAATAAATAAAATATCAACCAAAAAAATTGAAAAGTTTTGTTTTTATTTTATATATTTTCTTTTATTATCTTTATGTATATATATGTTCATATATATATATCAGTCTTCGTCACTCTTAAGTCTTGAATAACATATAAGCAAATTTTTTCAAATTTTTATATTTTTATTTTAAACAATATACAAATACAATCGTAAAAATAATTTAATAATTATTTAATTTATTGAACATTTAGACTAAAACTTAGTTACAGACATATTTTATATATTCAACATAAGTTATTATAAGACAATTTATATATAACCCATCTATTAACTTATATTTAAGTTGTCTGTGGTTTTTGACTTACTGGGGGGTATAGGTACATGCGCTAAACAAGGGGCTATAAAGTATTGAATACTACGGTATTTGAAAATGACATAAAAGATTTTACTAAAAAGGGTTTTAATAGAATTTCAGCAGCAAAAAAAAAAAAAATATGTAAAATGAAATATAAAATTAAACAAAAATTAACAAACAATATGGTGAACAATGTAGTGAACATTTGGAAGCTGAGAGTTTTCAGTTAATGTTATGCCAGAACAACGCGTTGAGCGAGTAAAAGTTGAATAAATGAAACACATTAAACACACGAAACATAAAATTAAACAAAAATGTATTGAGAATATAGTGAACAATAACTAGGGAACCATGCTAATAGATTAAGTCTTCTTTTCAAACAAACCCATCACAGCACACAATTGCGATGAGAGTGCAACTCATTTACTAAGTTCTTGCCCGGTTCATGCACGGCGGCGATACAACACTTTAGAAGCCGCCTTTCTTGAAGATCATGATAAATTATAAGACCTGCTATTGAGTATAGCATTTTAGGCTTCGTCAAAGGTTTTTGATAGTTTTAAACCCTGAGTTTTCTTACATATATGGTAACACTATGGTTTCACTAGAGATCGCCGGTATAACCTATCCTGAACCCTTGAACAATGTAGTAAATATTTAAAAGTGGATAGTTTTTAGTAAATGTAATGCCAGATCAACGCATTGAGTGAGTAAAAATTGTAAGAATTTATTATATCAAAAATAATACTAAAAGAAATAATGCAGCAAAACAAAGAAAAAGAAATGTAGAAACGTAGAAAAGAGAAACAACGTAATGAACATCAAGAAATTAATAGATTTCTAGCTAATGAAATTTCAGAACAACGCAGTGTATTTAGGAGCTGAAAATTTTGGGCTTATAGAACAACTTCTGTTGTTCAGCTTCTGTTCTAGGCCAGAGCAACGCCTTGAGTGAATAATAATTGACTAAATTAAACATAAAAAAAGACAGGTAAACGGGTAAATGGGGTAAAACTATTTAACAGTTAAAATTATATGAAGACATAAAAGTTATAAGCAAATTTTTTTGGCAATTTTTTATTTTAAACGAAGTCCAATTAAATTGTTACAATAAAAATACAATATCGTTTTCATCAACTTAACCACCAACACCTTCTTTACCATCTACGTAGCAGCAACAGCAACAGTAATACCAGCAACATCACAACTAACAACAACACAAATGGCAGGATAAGGACTGAAGTGCCCGGTAGCAACACGGGCGCAATAAAAGTGCATCAACAAAACAGCAACAATCATTAAAAGGTGCTGCTTGGCTCGCTGATTTCATTGCAACATTTTAAGCACTTTTAACTTTTAACTTCAGTGCGCACGAAAGCTTTAGAACAAAAATAAAATATTAAATATTTTTATATGTAACTGAGCATATAAATGCCAAATACACCAACAAAACAGCAGCAGCAACAACATAACACAACAGCAATAGCAACAACAACAGCAACAACAACAATGACAGCGGATACTACAATGCGAATGGGTTAAGTTATTTAACAAAAATGTTTGCAAAACGTACGAGAATATCTTTTTCGGTCGTAAATGTATCTGCGTGCAGTGCCAAGTGCAATTGTTGCTAATGAAAATGATATTCGTAAATTGCGGCAAATGTAATAATAAATATAGTAAAATACTTTCGGAACCGAATGTGCTAAAGGTTGTTGGTGTTATAGAAGTGGCATCAACAACAAGAGCAGCAGCAGCAGCAGCGGCAACAAATGGTAGGTCCATTGCTTGCGCTTCATCTAATAGATAAAAAAAAAAAATAATTATTGCACGTACACTCATAGCTTCTTTCTTGCTGATACCTTTAATGTTGTTGTTGTTGTTGCTGCAACATTTGCTACCGCTAGCTGTTGATATCATTAACATTACAACATCAATTGTAAATGCGATTGTTGCAGAATTTGGTATAAAAATTTACAAAATTGTATTTGTTATTTTGGTCGATGCTCTGCGCTACCTGTGCGCTACCCTTAAGCTGACTGCTTTCTGGCACTGGCACTGGCACTGGTACTGGCTCTGGCCCTGGCCCTAATTACTACCCCGATTTGTGTGCTCGGGTGAAAATTAAATGTGCAAATAAACAAACGAAATTACCTGTTGGCATTTCCTAACCGAATTGCATGACTAACTTCAACAGCACAAATTAGTTGCATTTTCGTTGAGGTAGGAGCATATACCTACCATTGATACCATTTCAATGGTAAATGGTAAATGGTAAAATGGTAAATGGTAACTGGTAAATACCAAATATTAAACACATAGTCGGCAGACTGAAATTGTTAAATAGAATAGCTGTGGTAAGCTAATTGCACTTAAGCAATTTTAAAAATTTTCCCCCTAAGGAACTGTAGTTCTGTTCGTTCAAATGTTACTCGCAGCTATTTTTGATTAATTTATCGTAGCCTCAATGGGCGGGCGGGCATTCGGTCGGTCGGTTGTATGTGTGTGTGTACGTACTGCTCTATTGATTCCATTACGTCTGTTTCCTTAGCCGCAAAATTCCGTTTAATTATTGAAGGATATCGAGTGAGAGGCAAATAATTGAAATTGTTAAGAATCTTATTTGAAAGTTGGGCAATCAACACGTTTAATTACACTTTCAACAATTTCATAAAGATCCAAGTGTAGGAGTTCTTCAAGTTTATGGCAATTTGGAATCCATAAAATTTCAATGTAATTCCTTGTAATTAACCAATAACTATTACAGATATTTTCTGTTTGTTTTAGATGAGTTCGACTGAGCTGTCAATCTTCTGCTATTTATCGAGAGTTAAATCAGTTTTTGATTTCAAGAGTTTAAGAAATCAATTTGAATCTATAATAATTCAATGTATTTTCTTCATTAATTGAGAAATAACTCTAAAGTACATTTACTATTTGTTTAATTTAAAGGTATGTGCAGTTAAGGATTAAGAAATTTTAATGAAATTTCTTGTAATTCAGCAATAAGTATTAGCCGACATTAGCCGAATTAATTTTTAGATTTGATGAGTTTAAAAAATCAATGTGGAACCATAATATTTCCATGTACTTTTTGATAATTAACTGATTAGTATTTAGGATAATACATTTCGAGGTTTAAGCAGTCGGTCTTCTACTAGAATATATCAAAAGTTGAGTCAATTCTTGATGCCAAGAATTTTTATATAAAATAAATTTAAATCCATAATAATTCAATGTAATTCGGCGTAAGCAAACAATAAATTTTTTAAAGTGGTTTTTCGAACAGTAGTGAACTACAAAAACAAAATTTTTTTTTATATTATTTTAAGTAATTGAATTTTTGGCGGACCATACAGCTATATCGAGTATTGCCAAATACTCATCATCAGTGGTCTCGGAAATAATTCTTGTATTTAATTATTCATAAATAATTATTTTTTAATATAATTTCTAAATATATTTTTGATTTGTTTAATTTAAAGGTATGAGCACTTAAGCCTCTACTACAAGAATTTACACAATCAATTTAAATTCATAAGATTTCATCCTTTTTTCAAGATTCTTTGTCATTCTTTTTTTATCGAAACCTATGAGCTTCTTTAATTAAGCTTCTTTTATTTATGGGTGGTTGAATTAATTATTCGATTCCGAGAGTCAATAAAATCAATTACTGCAATTATTTTTATTTATAAAATTGCAAAATATTTCTTAAAGAGGTTTTCTCGAACAGTAGTGAACTACAATAACAATTTATTTTATATTATTTTTAATTAATTGAATTTTTGGCTGACCATACAGCTGTTTCGAATATTGTCAAATACCCATTATCAGTGGTCTTGGAAATAATTCTTGTATTTAATTATTCGTAAATAATTAATTTTTTTTTGTAACTGCAAGTACCAGGGTCCTATCCGAGTTGTAAAATATATTTAAAATAAAAAGTTTATATTCTTCGACATGAAATTTATTTCGAATAGGGAATAGTGAGTTAATAGTGAGGATATTTTGAAATCCAAATAAAATTATGTAGCTGAACATTTAAATAAGAAACACAATTCTTATTTACAGTACTCTTTTAAAATATGGTAAGTTTACAGAGCAAAATTTATTTATTTTAATTATTAATGAAAAAATAATTATTAAGAAACAAATGACGTTGTCCGCAAACTTTTGAATCTATTGTATTTTCTAAATTATAGGAGAATTTTCGTTGGTATCATCATAATTATCAAAGATATATATTAGTTTTTTTTCTATACATTTTCATGGAATTTCATAAAAATAAATTCTATATACCTTCTACTCAAAAAGTATCCGGATTTGTTGTTTCTTAACTACTTCTTAAGTAATACACCTTTCTCAAAATTTATTTTTTGTTATGTTGGTACGCCCTTTCTTGACATATGGTACAAATTTGAGCGCCATCTGCCAATTAGTTTGTTTACAGGAGCTGTTAATGTGTGACTACCTCAACTGCATTTAGCGATTTTTACTATGGAAAATTCTTGTTGTACGCGATTTTTAGACCAAACACGGCACCACTGTCAACGCTTAGGCACCATATTCGCCAGATCTGGATCCGTGCGAGTTTTTTCTGTTCCTAAAACTCAAAT